AGACCACCTGATAGTATTACAACGGGCACACATGGGCAATATGCAGGAGACCACCTGATAGTATTACAACGGGCACACATGGGCAATATGCAGGAGACCACCTGATAGTATTACAACGGGCACACATGAGCAATATGCAGAAGACCACCTGATAGTATTACAACGGGCACACATGGGCAATATGCAGAAGACCACCTGATAGTATTACAGGGGGGCATGCATGTGAATTATGGGCTGGGTGCAAGAAGACAAGAAGTCACCTGATAGTATTACAGCGGACATATATGGACATTATCAGCTGGGCCCGAGGAACCGTGACGCATGTAGTCCCAAAGCAGGAGGTCACGTGACGCAAAAGTGTGCGCTTCCCGATCCAGAAGTTCGGGGAAATGGCGCAATAATTGAACTGGCTGTAAAGTGGGCAGATGTAAGTCTTATAGAATATGGAACATCTCATCTGCCTCTGGATACACAGATTCCTGTTTTTACTAAATGCCGCTGAACACCAGTAAACGCACAGCTTGCATGATACCATTTACTATCATTGCATGCATGTCTGTGCATTTAGAAATGTCTGATAAAAGCATGTCATTGTATGTATGTCATAGACCATGTGAATGAGGCCCAGGAGAGAACATTCACCCAACACGGCATCACTGCAATGCTACCAGACCGGGCCGTATGGGGAGCGCCTGGCATTTCTCCTGCAGCCCAGTACTTGGTGTCTGATTGGTCGGTCGCCATGCTCGGGTGATGTCAGAGGGGGAGCACGCTCAGCTCAGCTTGTTTAGAAAGATTCACTTTATACAGAGATCCTTGGATGCCTGGCAGCACATCAAACCACGGAGGGGGGGGCGGTAATATGAAGAAGGTTGCTACTGGCTCTGCTTATGTTCCGTCTGTGAAGTAAAGCTGGGACTTTGTCTCCGGGGGAGTTTCAGTTTATAAGAAATGTAAACCAACTTCACAGCTTCATCTTTGATACTTTTATGGTCACTGAAGAGCTGGGGATGTGCTCGTGTACGCATGACATCGGGCTACGACTGTCAGACCTCAAGTGGTCCTTCATCTTCAAGAGTTACCCTCAGGACAAACTAAATAAAGCCAACCACTCGCTGACCAGCTAACACATACCGGGGGGGAACTTATCAAAACTGGCGCAGATACCCATAGTAACCAATCAGCTTCTCTCTTCAGTTTACTCAGTCAAGATTTAAAAATGAAAGAGAGAAGCTGATTGGTTGCCACGCACAGCTGCCCCAGATTTTGTCTGCTCCAGTTTGCATAAATTCCCCGCATTGTATGTATGGCAGAGAGGAGGTTGGTCTCTGTTTATGATCAAGGGCTGGGGACAGGCTCCTGATCAAATGATTGGCTGTAACAGCAGTCACATGATTGGGTGCTCGTCCCTGCCTCCCTTTAAAGGTGCCCATACACTTTACAACCATCGCAAGACCTAAAGTAATTAAAAAAACTTACGATCTGCCCATCTTGGACAGTCTGACAGGGTTATGTGATCTTAGGAGCTGGGAGTCGGCATGTGAGGTCAAGGAATTGACAAGGCAGCTACTGTCTCACCTCGGTGACCTTTCACGTCCTGGCATGAGCCTAAGGGCTTGTTCACACCCTGTCCGGATCATGTTCAGAACAGAACAGTTGGCTCTCGGACCAAAAAAGTATCCCTATGGTGTTTCTGGGCTCTGTTCACACCAGCGCAGTCCGTTCCGGACCAGACAAAAATACTGCTTGTCTCATTTTCTCTGGTCTGGAACGCATACAAACGCACTGGACTGCACCTGGAATCCCATTTTTAAACTTTAGAATAAAGCGATCCGGAACGCGGTAAAATCGCGACAAAAACTGCAAACCGCAATGCTTCGCGTTCCACATCTGGTGCCGAAAATGGTGTGAACCTGGTCTAAAGCTGAAACTGAGTTAAATATTTCTGAGAATGCAGCACCGGGGACATAACTCGCCTCTAATGACGTGTGTCCAATGTCTCGCCGGCTGCGGCTTACTGTAGAAAACGTCCCTCTACTGATGCCGCGCGGTGCCAGAAGGTCAGCGCTGTGGGGATTCTAACCAGCAGTTGTGGCTCTAAGCCATCGGTACCACTCGCCTGTCCCTTCCTCCTCCTCCTCCTGCTTGCCCATTCACAGAATTTGTAGCATTCTGTGATTGGAGGAAGTGGATGCTGTCATTCTTCAGCCCTGTCCTCCATTCACAGAACACTTTGCATTCTGGGGACCACTCAGAGAGACTTTCATGCGCCCCCCGGCCATGGGTACTGGGTCCAATATGGCATCTGCCACCTTCATACAATCGGGAACAAATGTCCACCACTGCAGGACTCCTGTTATATTGTTCCTCCGCCGGACATGGCTCCTCCCCACGCACATCGGTGTGTTTGTCATACTAATCCAGTGGCTTTAGTATGCCTCAGTGGCATGTCATTATGAAGAGCAGCATAGAGAGCACAGACTCAGCGCTTGGATCCACTGCAATGAAATGCTCTAGGGCTATACTGCAATGTCACGATGCTGAGATGACACTTCAGGGGTGTTCAGATACAGTAACACCATCAGCGTATACTACTGCGCCGCCACTGCTTTGTGTTGCAGCGTGCTGATTTTT